CGGGCTCGGATGTTGTCCACGTTACTTTTTTTTCGCCTTTCACTTTGATTCAGATGCTCTTGTGCCTGCGTCTCTCTCCACAAATCGAGCGACCCAGCGGCACCTCTGAGATAGATCAGGTCAGTGTGATGGAAAAGTCCTGCCACCTGCTCACCTGCTTCTCTTGCTCCGTCCTAGTCGCCCTCGTCCTCCTTCGTCTCCCTTGTCGTCCTCTTCATCCTCGTCGTCCTGGTCCTCCTTGTCCTCCTCGTCCTCCTCGTCGTCCTAGTCCTCCTTGTTTTCCTCGTCGTCCTAGTCCTCCTCGTTTTCCTCGTCGTCCTAGTCCTCCTCGTTCTCCTTGTCGTCCTAGTTCCCCTCTTCGCCCTCGTCCTCCCCTTGGTCCTCGTCCTCATCATCTTCCTCTTCGTCGTCATCATCATCTTCCTGCTCCTCCATCCATCCCCCTCGCAAACGCGTCAGCGACGCTCCGTCGCGGTGCGGCTATGCGGCCCATGCGGGCTCTAGTCGTGCGGCCGAGGCGTTTTGTAGCGGCCGCGCGACGCCTCTTACGAAAATGCAACAATAAATTCATAAAGGGGCCGCAGGTCGGACCGGGCCGGGGTCACGACGTCGTCGGGGTGGCCGGGCACGAGCTGCGTCGTGTGACGCAAGCAGTGGGGGCCCCGGGGGCACGCGCGCCACCACCGCCGCCCACTCGGGGAAGGAAACCTGTCCCTATACCGCCGCCTGCAAGTCCCCGGCGGCCTTTACCGCCACCGGCCGGTAGGAAGCGTCGGCGGGACCCACCACCCCGCCAGCAGCGGCGCGACATTTCGCGACCTAACCTCCTCGCACCTCCTGTCGTTGAACTCCGTGACGGACAGGCGATGGCGGTGGCGTTGAACTTCCTTGACAAGCAGGTGCTGGCTCGGCGTTGAACTCCTCGACGGGCAGGTGCTGGCGGCGTCCATGCTCGCACTTCTATTGGCCTGGGCCGAGCCCCGTGGGATTCCCGCTATGAGACAGCCAGGTGCCAGCTGACGGCTACACGACGTCGTCACTCGTCACTTGCTCTGCCGCATCCTGGAGTCTAACGCGACTCGCTTGCTGGCCCTGGCGAGGAAGTCATCGTTCACCGGGGGCGCGACGGCGGGGTCATCGGGAGGTCGACCGGTGTTTCCACCCGGTTACACTGACCGGCGCTCGACCCGGCCCGGCCCGACCCGATCCCGGTCGGCACACTTGCATTGCCAGCCATCGCAATGACCTTTGATGTGCACTTTCTCCGAGTCCCGGCGTCGTGGCCAGGCTCGGCGGCTCCGGCGGCGTGGCCAGGTCAGGGGGGGCTCCGCGCAGAGCGCCGCGCCAAGCGCCGGGCATCTAGGGGTCACGTAACAGGAGGAGGGTATCACACGCACACATGCTCGCGCACGGCGACGCATTCGCCTACGCACAACACGGCCGTCGCCGACGTCGTCCCTCCCGCTCGGGAAAAACGGCCGGGCGAGAGGTCACTGCGTGCACAGCCCGCACGCAGACCCACAGCGCCCTCCCCCGCCCCCGCCCCCTTCTTCCTCCACCACGATCAGGACACTCTGTGCTGGTCCCGCCCCCGTGTCCCGCCCGGCGCCGGGGAGGCGGGCAGCCTCTCGTACGTCACTGCGGAGCCGCCGCCCGCCCACCCCCCGCTGCTGCCTCCTGGATGTTAGTATCTCCGAGTACGTCTTATATATTCTCTTGCTCAATCGCTTTGGCCCGGCGCAGGGCTAGAGGTGGTAGTGGCTCGGTTTGGCCCCCCGTGCCTCTCACCCCGCCTCCCCCCTCTCTCTCTCTCTCGCCTCTCACTCATCATCGGCAGCCTGTTCTTAATTAACCCTTCCGCTTCTCGCAGGGAGGCCCGACCCGCACGCTCATCCTCCTCGCCGTCTTTACTTTACAAGTGTTTCGCTCTGACGTCACGGCCTCGCCGCTCGCGGCCGGCAGCAGAGGGCAGGGGGAGGGAAAGCCTCTTTCGCTCATAACAATAATTATTGACCGTTGGTGAAGGGGTTGCTGATGCCGGGCAAGAGAGAGAGAGAGCGAGTGAGAGAAAGAGAGGGAGTGAGAGAATGAGATAGTGAGTGAGAGAGAGAGAGAGTGAGTGAGTGAGAGCACCCGGTACCCGTCGCTCCCTCTCACTCGCTCGACGACGCTGGACCCAATCGATGCGGCGGAAGGAAGGAAGGACTTCCACAATTTACCGTATCGGGTGGCTGGGCGGCCAGTGGTGCCCTGCCGGCACGATTTCCGTCGGGGTGCAACGCGGTTGTAACGCGCCGCGTATCCCTCTCAGCCAGACGCCCTCTTAAAGGTGCGAGTGGAACTTCCCACGGCGTCGGTCGGCCGGCCGGCGCTCTGGTTACGGACCGGGCCGGGCCGGGCCGGGTCGTCGGGGCCGGACCCGCAGTAAAAACAAAACTCTTACGTAGGGCAGGGCCCCCTTCTCTGGAGGAGCCCACACTCCAGCAAGGAGCCCGCTGTGAGGGTCTGGAGCCGCGCCGGCCTGGCCTGGTGGAGAGCCTGGAGTCGTGGCGTAGGGCCACTGGCCTAGGGCGGTGAGTGTGCATCATCTCGTTGCATCAACTCCTGCGAAGGCGATCCCTGCGCCTCCGGCCGGAGGGGCCAGTTGGAGGAAGGGGGGCGGGTGGTGCGTGTGTTGGGTTGCCTGGTTGAGCGGCGGCTGTAGGACTTCCCTTACAGAATCTACCGATTCAATATTCAATAAGAACTCCGTATGACTTATTTTGAGCCATATTTTGTTTTCTTATTTGACATTTTAATAGTGTTCTTACCCGTAAGGTAAATAGAATAGTATGATTATCATGCTCATTTTTATACATGTACAACTTTACAAAACTTAATAGGCGAGGTACGCTTGACGTAATTACACAAGAAGGGAGCTCGTGATTCGGCGTGAGTATCGTTAATAACACTTACAAAACTAAACAAAATAAAACAAACACTTAAGAGTGGAGTAGTAATATCAACAAGGGCTTTATACACCTAACTAACAGGGGACTAGTATAGTGAGTGTGGGCGCCCGGAGGGTAGGCGGCCCATCGTGCCTCCGAGCCGACTGGGCCGGCCGGTCGGCGGGCGCAAGCGCGCGAGCCACGGGGCTGGACTCTCCAGTCACTGAAGGGCATTCCCCCCTCCCCCCTCCAGCGTACCTCCCGCTCTGGAGGGAGGACCATTGGATACGATTCGATCACAGCGCCGGTCGACTTCAAGTGAGCCGGCGAATAAAAAAACCAGAGACAGCCTCTTAGAGGACTGTCTAAAAATAGTAGAGATTGTAAAAGTCATGTTCTCGTCAGGTCACGGGTTGCGTTGAACTCGTCTCTGCCGGCGTGCGCGGGCGGACTGCTACGGGGCGCCCTCACCGCAGCCACGAGCTGTGCGAGCTGGACGTGGCGGTGGGCCGGTCCTGGCGCTGGTGCTGGCGCTGCTGCCGGCCGTCGTGGTGTTGTCGCTGCGGCGGCGCCGGCTGGGGGGGAGACTCCCGGGGACGGGGGCTGGGCTGGCGGGGCGGTCGCCGGGAGCTGTGCTCCGGACGCTGCTCACGGGCAGGCGGTTGTGCATGCTGGTGCTGCTGCTGCTGCTGCTGGGCGCTGCCCTCGGGGCGCTGGTCCCGATGGTCGCGGTGGTGGCCCTGATGGTGGTCGCGGTCCTGGTTGACGGCCTGGCTCTGGACGCGGGTGCTGCCCTCGGCGCTCTGCTCCTTGTCCAGGTGGTGGTAGTGGTGGTGATGGTGGTGATGATGCGGGTGACGGTGCGGCTGTTTCTGGTGCTGCTTGGCGTCCGGGGCTGGCGCGGCCTTTTTCACCTTGGTGGCGACCTCCTTGCCGTCCTCGAATATCTGTAACGCGACAATGAAATAAAATGGTGACGAACCTTCTCATGAAACCGGACCAATAGTTAATGATTTCAAAATTCGTATTTTTGTCCTCGGAATGCATCAGAAGGGCTGGAACCTTCCCCACAATCATGTGCTCTGTGCCTGCGACCTACCTGAACTCGAATGCCGTCGTCCTCCTCGTCAACACCCTTGACGTCGTTGGCAAAGTGGTCATCGTGGAAACCGCCGTGCGGGTGGTTGAAACCTTCGTGGGTGGGTAGAACGTCATCGTGGTGGTGGTGGTTGTGTTGAGGGCGGAACCCTTCCGGTTTTGGGGGAGGACCCCCGTGCTCATGACTGTGGGTCATCACGTCGTGGTTGTGGCTCGGGCTGTCACGGTTGTGGCTCGGGCCCTCATGGGTGTGCCTCGCCACACCGTGATTGTGGTGAGGACCATCGTGGCTGTGACTCATCACCCCGTGGTTGTGGAGAGGACTATCGTGGCTGTGGCCCATCACACCGTGGTTGTGGTGAGGACCCTCATGGCTGTGGCTCATTACTTCGTGGTTGTGGTGAGGGTCCTCATGGCTGTGGATGTGACTCGGTTGATTGTGGTGTGGGCCGGCATGGCTGTGGGTTTCGGAGCCCTCGTGGTCGCGGTGGCCGGTGTTGAACTTTGGGAAGCTCTCGATGTGCTGCTTGTGGAACTTCTCGAAGCCCTCATTGACCCAGGACCTTATGTCCTCGGGCACCTGGAAGTCCTCCTTGGGGATCTGCTGCTGCGGGCTGTGCTGCCTCTGGTGCTTGTTCTTGCCCTGATGGTGGCCGTCGTCCTGGTGATGGGTGGCGTGCTGGTTCTGGTCGTGGTGGTGGTGGTGTCCGTGCTCACGGTGGCCGTGCGGATGATGATGATGGTGGTGGTCCTCTTGGTGACCTCTCTGCTGGTGTCCGCGCCGGTAGTGGTGATCCTGGGGCTGCCGTTGCACGCGCTCCCGCGACTCCTCGTGGCCGTGCGGCCGGAATTTGCTCTGGAGCGGAGCGCTGCTCTTGTGCTCCACGTGGTTCTCGTGGTGCGGCCGGCGGTGGTGGTCGTGGTGATGATGCCCCTGGTGATGGTGATCGTGATCACGATAGTGCAGCTGGGACGGTGACCGTGGTGACGGCAGCCCCGTCCAGCCGCTGGCAGTCATCATCTCGGGCTCGTCGCCCTGGTGCAGCTCGTGTTGCCCGTGCTGGTGGTGGTGTTCGCCGCTGTGCCCGACCTGTGGACGAACCTGCGCGTTATTGGCTGAGTAACAAACTCTGAGGGGGAAGGCAAACCTTCGCGTTATCGACAATAATGACTACATACGCGCTAATGACTGACGGGTTGTCAACCTGCGCGTTATTGACTGAAGGTTGACAACCTTTTGCGGTATTGGTTGAGGTTGTCGGCAACAATAGGGAGCATGCCGACCGTGTCAACAGCGCCTCGCGACATTGCACCGGAGAAAGTGGACGGCGCGCCGCGCCGCGTAGCGTGTGTGTGTTTGTGTTTGTGTGTGTGTGTGTGTGTGTGTATGTATGTGTCTATAAGCTCGTGATTGCGACGTCAATTAACAAACAAAGTCACCTTAACAATGCGTCGTCTTGTGCCAAAAACGTGCTGCTGTTCTCTTACTTGCATGCAAGTGTGGTGCCTCACAGGTGAAACGCGACGACGTCCGAGTACCCGATGCCCACCCACGATCCCCCGCGTGTGTTGAGGTTATGTTGGTCCGAGGGGCGGGCCGGTGGGCAGCGTGCGGGAATGTGGGTGCAGTCATTCACCGAACCTTTCCTTTTCTCCTCCGATTGCGTGGCGGGGCGGCAGGCGTTCCACTGGGCGTTCCTAGGAGGAGGGCGTTCCAGCTCCGCGTTTCAGGTGGTTCATCCACCCTGCTAATCGTGCTCTCCACCGACTGGCGCCCAATCTTCCCCGGATAGGTTAAGAGGAGAAGATCGCCCTGCTTATCTTCAAGCTCCGTTCGCCCTTTTTTTTTTGTTAGTTGTGTCTGCTGGTTTCGATAGATCGATTAGAGTGGGAGCGGTCGATGCTCGGGTGCGATGTGAGAGAGACGTGCCGTGCGCCTGGGTGCGATGCTCCTAATTAAGATGGCGTATCTTTCGCACGCCCTGCATGTGAGAGTAGGAAGGAAGTGCTGTGCGCAGGCTGGCGTGGCGCGGCGCGGAGCGCGGCGCACCAGTCAGAGTCGGTGGAAAAAAAATAGTTAGTATTCTGCAGTAAGATGAGTTCTTTCACTTAAAGAGCGTCCGTTTTTTTTTTTTTCCAAAGCGGTTAAACAGTTAAACGTCGTGGGTGTCCTCGTAGTGTAACGTATCTCTCCTCTCACCTTCCTCTTGCGCGATCGTGACGGACGGACGGCGCTATCGTGTTCGTTCGTTTAAGAAAATAATTTTCGTCTCGTCTGTATAAAAAGCAGGTGGGGTTATCTTTTCGCCGGCGATGAGGAGTAGGGGTCGAGCGGGTCGCACCACACGTGGGTCGTTAGTGTGTTGCACCGAGTCATGCGAATCGTTTTGGAATAAATCTCGCGTCCTAACTCCCGCTCCGAGGCGCACGCCCGCCCCGGGCCGGTCCAGTACCAGGTGCGCACCGCGCCACTGCTAAAAAAAAAGAAAGTCGGTTTTTGCAGGTTGCAAAGTATGATTTTGATTGCCGCTGCCGAGATCTATGTTGAAGAAAAGTAACGGCAACGGAAAAAAGTTATTATCAATGAGATATCGCAAAATTATAAACTGAAAGTAAAGTATCGTTTAAAAAATCGTCATTAGTGAAGTAGAATTTCGTTTTTGCAAAGTTGTTGTACTTGTGCCAATCAAGTGTCTGTGACGTGGTGGTGCAGGGGTGCTTACGTGCTCGTGAGAGGGACTAGTGTCCTTGACGATGACCACGTCCTGCTCCGACGCGGCCCCCAGCACCTTATCTTCGCCGGCGTCCTCGACGCCTTCGCCCGCGCGGTGGACGCCGTCCTCCAGGTCGTCGATGTACTCGATGGTGGGCGGCAGCTGGTGCCTGTAGTGCGCCTTTTGCTTGACGTACACCTTCTTGACGTGGTGGTGGTGTATGTGCTTGACCTTCTCCGGCACGAGGACAACGATCTTCTTCCTATCGAACAAAAACATGTAAAACAAACGCGCGAGTGTTACTTCTGCTCTTTTGGTGGTGGCAAGGGTACATCAACATCAGTGTAGCAGGGTCGGCGAAAGACAAGTACGGAAGGGTATGGGAACTGGAGAAAAGGGGACCGTCTGCTGTTCGTGGGGTAGACAGAGAGAGAGAGAGAGAGAGCGAGGGAGAGAGAGAGAGCGAGGGAGAGAGAGAGAGAGAGCAGGAGTTCGCGTAGGTCGGCTGAATACATAAAGCTGGCCACGGCACTGTGCATGTAGTGTACAACATCCTTCCTCCCTGACCGATGTCCCGGTCCCGGGATCATCCCGGACAAGCCCACTCCTCGTCGGCGCTCCGCTGCGCTATGGAGCTGCCCTAGACCCAGATGGGCGTGGCGGGGTGGGACGGGGTGGCAGTGAGGGATGGCATCCCCTGGCGCAGCTGACCGCGGCGGCCGCGGCTGCCCCGCCCGCGAGCTTCATAAATAAAAGAACAGCAAGGCCGCGCGACGAGGCGCGGAATTTAAATACGGCTTCCTCCTACGAGTGCGCCGGACGCGACGACGTACGTCTCTACTGGACGCGGCGGCGAGGCGCCCTCTACCGTTCCCATAGACCACAGACACAGACACACAGCACAAAAATGAAAAGAAAAGATCAAAGAAATCATATCTGAGCGTATGGAAATGCAATCACATACGAGTACGAGTTTGGCACAATTAAAAACTTCAATGACAGTACAATGTGGCCGACTTCAAGATTCGAGCCAACAAAATTTCAGACTGGGAAAGACACGACACGGATTGATGCGGTAAAGGTGAAAGGTACTCGGTTTCAATTATTTTCCAAACTTATTTCGCGTTTGACTGAGAAAGCTCACTACACTAGGTGCCTTTGTGTGTCAAGTGACAGCAGCCAACAACGAGAACCCTCCAGGCTCGCAGCCTATCGACGGCCGATCTCCACACATGCACGGCTCTGCACGGCTCGACCCTCGGCGACGACAAGAGCCAGTGCAAGCGGACCGCACTCCGCGGAATCCATTTCCCTTTTTATCCGCCTTTTCTCTCCCCTGGCAGATCGATCGCCTCCGCGGTAGTAGCAGCGGCAGCTTTGCCTCTCCCCACCCGATATCCCCTTGATCATCGCATTTATATCACATTTTCATGTAATTTAAGATTATAACGACGGCCATGTCGTCCAGGCCGCCGCTGGAGACCTCGACGCCAGAGCTGACCGGAACACTTTCGCCGTCGCCTCCTCCTCCTCC